TAGGGTCAGGTAGGTCATGATTTCACAGTTCGTGGGTTTAAGCCCTGTGTTTGGACCATCAGCACAGAGCTTGCTTGGGATTCTCTCCGTCTCCTTCTGCCCCTCCCTCAGAACAAACAAACGAATAAACTAAAGAAAAATGCTCAGGGTAAAATCTGAAGAGGATGATAGAGGAGTAGAGAAGGTAAGTTCATGAAAAATAGACTATTCTGCCAGACTGAGTAAAGACTGAATGTCTTAGGAGAATGAAAATCTTGTACTTGATCCTGTATATGAAGACACAGGGTATGAACCCACAATTTAATTATTGTTTAATTGCACAATATATAAGGTGCTGATATGCTTTATCACAAGGCTTCTTGACTCTTATCTACATTTTTCTTTATTTTAGTCATTTTATTGCCTTTTGTCACATTCACTTAGCATTCCATATAAGGATGTGGTTCTAGAGTTTTAATTCCCATTTTATTCCATTTTTGTGTACAAATGTTACATTTAAAAGCTAAAGACCATTTATTTTTATTTATTTATTTATTTATTTATTTATTTATTTTTATTTCTAGGAGAGAGAGAGACAGCATGAGCAGGGGAGGGTCAGAGAGAGAGGGAGTGACAGACTCTGAAACAGGCTCCAGGCTCTGAGCTGGCAGTCAGCACAGAGCCTGACGCGGGGCTCGAACCCACGAACCGCGAGATCATGACCTAACCGAAAGTCGGACGCTTAACCGACTAAGCCACCCGGGCGCCCCGCTAAAGCCCATTTAAATATTTTGTATGAGGAAGAGGGTTTGTATCCATGAAATGCACAATAACTGGTGCATATTTTCTGCAGAACAAAACAGAGACAACAGTCGCTGTCATTATTATCTTCACTAAAAATTGATAAAAGCAACATTAGCTACATAAATTGGTACACAACTTCAGGCAATGATTTTGGCAATATTTAAGTGCCATTAAATACCTTATTTCCTTCCCTTGACTCTACTTTTGAGGATCTATTCTGAGGACATAATCTATGTCCTTAGATATATGCCCTCCTCTGTTTTTACATACACTGCTTGAAGAAAGCCCCTTTACACACAGTGAGGTAGCATGGCCCAGTGGTTAAGGCTATAGTCTCTGGAGAGCCAGGGCTAAATTCTGACTCCATCACTAACTAAATTCATGATGTTGAGCAAGTTACCTAAATATTGTGCCTCAGTTTCTCCATCTATGATATGGAGATAATCTCAGTACATCCTACAATCTTTGTGAGAATTAAATGGGGTAATAAGTATAAACCACTTCCACCAGGGAATGTAATTAATGTTCACTATTATTATTGTCATAATGGGGCTAATTAGAAGAAAAAAAGGAAGACCCACAATGCTCCACCATATGAGACTGGTTGCATGAACTCTGGTCTATTCATTCAAGGGCAAAGTCATTAAATTTCATCACACTATACACGATGTCTAGCACAGGAACGCATTCCCACAAGTGTTTGACGCAGTCTGGATTTCATTGTAAAACACACAAGATACACATTGGGTCACATTTTAATCTCACAAGAGTTGGAATGCGTCTTACTGTCAAGGGCCAGTTTAGTGGGTAGAGTGTGATGCATCTTACATCTGATGCAGCTTGTAGATGGCAGAATGATAGCCTCCCAAAGATGTCCATGTGCTACAGCCAAAGCCTGTCAATGCCACCCCTTATGGCAAAACCAACTTTGTGGGTGGGATTAAATTAGGGAGTTTAGACAAGGAGACTATCCTGGCTTATCCAAGTGGGCTCAGTGCAACCACAAGGGGACTTACGAGGAGGAGGCAAGGGGTTTAGTGTTGGTAGTAGAAGTTGTGATGACAGAAGCAGAGGGTGGAATGATTAGAAGGGGCCAGGAGTCAAGAAATGCATGTAGCCTCCTCCAGCTGCTGAAAACAATATTAAAACAACTTCTGCTGACACCTTGATACTACTGATAATAATTCTGGACTTCTGAATTCCAAAGTTGTAAGATAATAAGCCCGTGTTGTTTTAAGCTACGAGGTTTGTAGTAATTTGTTACAGCAGCAGTAGGAAATGAATACAGTCAAATTGGGTGAAATGAGGTTCTTTTTTACTTCTAGGCAATGTCAGGCCCTCAGTACTTTCTATATACCCCTCAACAGCATAAGACACAATCAATCTAAAGCTACTGAAGGAATGCTGAGTGGAATAGTATACAGCCATCACAATGGTACTTACAAACAGAAAAGTGTTATTTGGAAAAAAAACCCAATTTGGATTTCAGTGAAATCACAGTTATACTATGTGGGCAAACATCAAATTATGCATATAAAATTTTCATTAGAAAATAAATTAAAATAGTAATAGTGATTGTTTTTGCATGTTGGGACCATAAATGATGTTACTTTTTCTTCTTTACATTTCCACAAATTTTCCATAATGAACAGTATTGTTTTCATAAGGGGAGACAGCACATCAGTTTCATTTGAAAAGTAGACAGCAGAATAATGAGGAATATGAAAAGCAATTTACACAATATTGGTAAACTCAATTTCTTTATGTGCCAAAACCTCTAATTTAATTAGTAACTCAGAACCTTCACATTCCTGGGTCTGCCATTTCAGTGATTGTGCTGTCACAATGGATCTGTGTTTTAAGTTTGTCACTACTTGTATTTTAATAATAGTAAAGCTTTGATTATCATCTTCAGAAATCACTTGCTGACCAGTCACTGTGAGCTACATGGGGACAGCAAACAGGGCTGTTAAAGAGGAAGTAATTTAAGCAGGAACTGGTCATTGACCCCAGTGGGAAGGCAAAAGGCAAAAGGGAGAAAAGCTGAGAAACCTGAAGAATGAGTGCTTTCTGAGGTGTGAGAAGACAAGAGGGTTCTTTCTCAAACTATGGCACTCTGACCTTGGAGAAATCACTGCCCCCCTCTGAGCCTCAGTCTCTTCCTTTGTTTATGAGGGTCAAGAACTAAACTATCTGTAAGATGAATGCCAAATTAAAAAAAAAACATGCTTTCATGATTCTACAGTCTCACCTTGCATTCACATGGGGATTGCTATGAACCGATATGAACTAGGTCCTCTGTCCTGTGCAACTTGACTTAGACTAATGCCATCAATGCCATCACCATTAGATACTTCACAGATCTTCTTTTTTACAATGTCAGAAAATAAAAGCCCAGTCCATTAAAAGGTCTGAACATGTAAGGGGTTATAACAGCAGCCTGATATCTGATTGGTCACTGAAGACTTGTAGCTCATCACATGTCAGAGGTTTGAGGAATGTATCCATGACCTGGGAAAGCTTTCTACTTTCTTCCATGAAAAACACGTTAGCAAAACTTAAAAACAGCTTTCCAACTAAATGAAACACATTTCTCAATTATTCTGATTTTAAATGAGGACACCATTTCTGGAATACATCATATGTGAAACTTTAATGAAAGTTCAAGATGTCAAAGGACATTTTTTTCCCAGAAAATATTGAGAGAATACCTATTTGAAAGAATGTTATTTAATCCAAATCTTAAGGAACTTCTAAGTCTGTAGGGGGGAATAAATCATGGGCATATTTAATTCTAATGTGAAACAGAAAAGTAAATGCTATAGAAAGACATGGATGAATTCCTGTGGATAGAATTTCAGAGGAAGATGAGATTATGCTCAGCTGTCCAGACAGAGAGATGGCTATGGAGTACATGACATCGAAGGCTGTTTGGATTCTGTATTTAAAACCTGGGGTGAAGGAGAGGGCTTTGTTGGTGGAGGAAACAGATGTGGCATGAAAAATTTGGAGTGTGTATGAAGAAGAGCAAAAGGTGAAATTTGATGGTATCGTCACGTCCAGGTTGAAGAACCATGAGATAAAGATCATAATGATAAACAAGATCCAGACTATCAAGGCCTTGGATGCTGACCTCAGGAGACTGCACTTTATTCTACAGACAGCTGAGAAACATGTAGGCCTTTTGAGCAATTATTTAATTCAGTAGCACCCATCTCTCCCTATTAAAGGGGAGAAAGGTAATTCTATAGTCTAAAATTTATTATAATTTCTCACCCAACAAGTGAACAAAATTCTAAGCAACCTTTTGGTACATCACCCAATGAATTGGAAACGATTTCAAATGTATAGGTTTGCACCTCTAAGTGGGAAGATTTCCTTCATTGCTCTAGTATTTATTTGGGGTTGGAATAGCAGTAGCCCCATTAAGAGGCTGGAATGAAAGCTGCACACATGGGGGTCCCAGGAATTCCAACTGTCTGTGGCACATGATGTGACATGAACTTTACCCAGGGGCCTCCTGGCATCTCAATTTCAGGCCTTCTGGTCATCAGGGCTTGGCTTGATCCTCCTACCTGACTGATTGTTCTTGGGAACTGGCACTAAATCTACATTCTGTACATGAAAACAGAACACGGATTCAGCAGTGTTCTCTTTGTGTCTGTATGAGCGTGTTTGTCTACGCTGTGCATATTTATATGCAAATATCTGCATATATGCGCATTACACAAAATGGTGATGGCAGATACCATTGTCTTATTGTTATATCTATTATTTTGTAGTGAAAGCTATTTTCTCCCTAAGCGGTTTGTGGCCATCTTGAGAGCAGGCTTACCACATGGCATTGTACTAATACTCAGCATTTAATCATCAATATATTTAAGCTAAGTAAGCACATGCTGAATTTCCTTCCAGGATCAAGAGAACAGCTGGTTAACATACTTGGTATAACAGGACAAAAAAGTTATGGTTTCTATTTTTCTTCAAATCTGTGGAAGGCACGATAGCTTATTTCTTTAAAAGCTCCTGAGATAAGCAAACTTGTCGTATGAAAGCAATCAATCAATATGTGTGTGCGCGCATGCATGTGTGCAAGCCGCCAGCTTGCAACGGCAAAATGCAGAAATCATGAGCTGAATCTTAAATACAGGTGGTGTTGGCAAACACACAGAGTTCATCAACCCGCATGGATTCCATGTGTTATTTTTGACACTTACCTCAATAAAGAAAATGCTGGCTGCTGACGTTGGATGGTGATACATATAGACTGTCACAAGAATGGCGGCTACTATAATGAGGACCAGGATGAGAATTCCAACAATGAGGCCAGCATGAAGGGTTCCCCCTTTCTTCTCAGCTGCACTGTCATCCGTAGAAGCTGAAAGAACAGCACAGCTGTCAGAACATGCATGTGCGCCTCAGAGGTTCTCATTTCCACTGGTGGGGGGAAATGTTTGTATTTTTAATGAAGTACCATTAGAATTTTTCTTTTACTTTCTGTACAACTTTTCCTCTCTGGAACACCAGTTGTAGAAAGTAGATGCTCTTTATTTGGGCAATGAAGAGCCATAGTATTAATGATTAAAAATACATATGTAATTGTGTTTTAATTTATAGTTCAATAAACAAAGTTAATAGCCTTTATTCTGAAAGCACTGTGGAAAACCTAAAACTCTATTTAACTATATAATAAATTTAATTTTTATTTTTCTTATTAAACCACTGGCACTGTTACCCAGGGAAAAATTGATTACTTTTTGAAAGCCTCTGTCATTTTCTTTTGGAAATTTTAAATTGAAGAGTTTCACCCTTCTTTTTGGGGGCCAGACAGGCATTTTCAGAAAGTCTGCACATGAGATCAAAGGCTAATTTTCAAAATCAGTTTTAAACTGAAATGCTCTTTAAAAGCGTAACAGATGGATGCTAAATGACCCTCAAATAGTTTTATCACCATCACAGCATATCGAAATATTCCACTGTGCCACAAACCAATGTCATTTTATCTGACTTCTACTAAGATGTTTTCCACTGTAATACCCATCTTCAGAGAACTAGAAAAAAAATTAAATTTCTAAAGTAATAATTATCCAACCCAAACTCAGTCAACCAAATGAAATGAATCTCTAAAGTCTTCTCTTGTTCTAAAATTCTGCAATCTTTGATGACTACTCGAGTATTTAAATTATGTGCAGTAGGTAACTGTGCTTTTGTGCATACTATGATTGATGTTTTTGAAGCACTAGAAAATTACTTAACATTCACAAAAGTCCTACAGCAGTGATTCCTAATCTTTTCGTTACTAATTTGTGTCTTTGTTTTAAACATCATTTTTCTCTATTAAATCTCATTTAATAAGCACTGATTTATTTCTCTTATTTTAGATTTGTGTTAATAAAAAGCAAACATGACAGCTTATCAGAACTTGTGGTCAATATAAAATAATAGAATTCCAGACAAACTAAAGAAACACAACCTTCCAGTTTTTGTACCCATCTCTTAAATGTTTGTTGCTGCAGTGCCTGTCTGGCTCAGGTGAACCTGAACTTTGGCTCAGGTCATGATCTCACGGTACATGGGTTGAAGCCCTGTGTTGGGCTCTGTTCTTACAGCTCAGAGCCTGGAATCTGCTTCAGATTCTGTCTGTCTGTCTGTCTGTCTGTCTGTCTCTCTGCCCTACCTTGCTTGTGCTCTCGCTCTCTCTCTTGCTCAAAAATAAATAAACTAAAAAAATTAAAAAAAAAACTATAAATAAATAAACAAATAAATAGTTTGTTGCCATTGTTTGTTTATTTTCTGCTTCAGACCCATAGTTGGTGTTCAGTAATTTTTCTTCAAATTTAATAAAGCTCAATATCTAATAAAGCTTTTGCTTACATAACACTCATTAAGGAAAGACTATGCAATTTAAACAGTAATTCATTATATGAAAATTCACTTACAGAGAGGATTCTGGGAAGATGGAAGAGTATGAAGTATCAGAATCTGTCTCTACACAAACAACAATTGTACTGGAAGAAGGTGTCTGACAATTATCTTGGAACTCTGGACTCTATTGAAAGCTTGCAACTTTCAGAAGAAAGGCTTGGACTATAAATTGCAGTGAATTTCAGTCAATTTTTAGCTCTTAGCACAGTAGTGGCTACCCATCCTGCACCCCTCAGTCACATGGCAGGCATGTACATCAGTTCCTGAAGTAGCCTGCAGGCACCAGGGCAGGGGAAAAGTATCTGTCCTCCAGACAGCAGGGATCTGTGCTCTGACCACCGATTGGTGCTTCTCATCCCAGAGGCACAAAGATGCAGCCTTGGTTCTTTGTACCTTCCTCCACAGTTGCGAGCCTCTGCCCCTCTGGCTAAGGTGACTTTCAAGGGGTTTAAAGAGCCAGTGCCCTTTTCACCTTCCCTCCTCTTCATTTTTCCCTTTTTTCACTTTTGGGAGCTGGATAGTTAAGACTAGGACATTCAGAAACAACTTTACAGGTAAAATCAGAAAGTGAGTGTACATGCCCAGGGAATAGCTCAGAAAAGACCTGAAAAGACATTAAGATTACACCTCAGGCTGGCCCTCAGCACAGAGACAGTCTGCAGCAACACAAAACCCAAACAATAAACGACAAACAAAAATAACATCAAAAAGCAGTACACCCTGGGTAGGGGAAGGGTAAGAGTCTGATTTCCAGAGCCACCCCATTATTAGATTCAAATGCCCAGTATTTAATACAAATTCACAAAGCATACAAAGAAACACAAAAGTATGCCTCCACTCAAGGGGAAAAAATAAACAGAAATTGTCCCTGAGAAAAGATCTTATGGCAGTATAATAGACAAAGAATGTAAAACAATTGTACTAAAGATGTTCAAAGAACTAAAAGAAGATGTGGGGAGAGTCAAGACAACAATGTGTGAATAACATGGAAATATCAATACAGAGACAGAAAACCTAAAAAGAAAACAACAACAACAAAAATTCTGGAACTGAAAAATTCAATGACTAAAATAAAAAATTCACTAGAGGGATTCAAAGGCAGATTTGAGCAGGCAGAAGAAAGAGCCAGTAGACTTGGAAAACAGGACAATGGAAATCATTGTCTGAGGGAGAGAAAGAAAAAGGAGCCAAGGGGCCATCAAGCATTGCAGGAGTCCCAGAAAGAGGGACGGAGAGAGGGGCAGAGAGAATATTTAAGAAATAATGGCTGAAAACATTCCAGGGCTGGTGAAAGACATGAATATAAACATCTAAGAAGCTCAAGGTACTCCACTAAGATGAACTCAAAGAGATCCACACTGAGATGCTTTATAACCAAATGTTTGAAAGACAAAGTCAAAGAGAGAATCCCTAAGATAACAACAAAGAAAATAGGTATGTTATAAACAAAAGGCAAGGAATTTAAATATTCCATTACAGAAAATCAACAAAGCACAAAGAAGACAGTAATGTCAGAAATAGAAACAAAAAGAGCTATATGGCACATAGAAAACAAATAGCAAAATGATGAAAATAGACCCTTCCTTGTCAGTAATTGTTTTACATTTAAATGGACTAAAGTCTCCAATGAAAAGACACAGATTGTCAGAAAGAATAAAAACTATACGATCCAACTATATGCTGTCTACAAGATACTAACTTCAGACCCAAAGACAGAAATAGATTGAAAGTATAAGTATGAAAAAGATATTCCATACAAATGGTAACTAGAAGACAACAGAGGTAACTGTACTAATAACAGACTCAATAGACTTTCAATACAAAAGGCTGAGACAAAGAAGGACATTATGTATAAATAAAAGGTTTCAATATAGAAAGAAGGTATAGTAATTATACACATGTATGCAGGTAATGACAAACCATCATAAAGTATGAAGCAAAAACTGACAGAATTGAAGGGAAAAAGAGACAGTTCTGTAATGATAGTTGGAAGTTTCAGTATCCCACTTTCAATATTGGAAAGAACTAGACAGAAGATAAGAAAAATAAGACTTAACACAATAAACCAACTAGATCTAACAGATATATATAGAACACTCTACCCCACAACAACATACACATTCTTCTCAAGTGTACATGGAACACCATTGAGGAGAGATCATATATGGGAGGCCACACATTAAATCACAACACATTTAAAAAATAGATATCATACAAAGTATCTTCTCCATCCACAGTGGGATAGAGTTAGAAATCAGTAACAGAAGTAAATCTAGAAATTCACAAATTTGTAGAAATTAAACAATATACTCTTGAACAACCAATATGTCATCATGAAATCACAAGGGAAATTAGAAAATAGATATAAAGGAAAATAAAAACACAACATACCAAAACAGGGTATGCAGCAAAAGCAGGGCTAAAGAGGGAATTTACAGCTGTTAACACTTACATTAAAAACAAGAAAAATCTTGAATCAAAAATCTAACTTTACAAGTTAAGGAACTAAAAGGAAAAGAACAAACTAAACTCAAAGTTAGCAGAAGAAAGAAAATAATCAAGACAAGAGCAGAGATAAGCAAAATAGAGAATATAAAAATAATAGAGAAAGTTAATGAGAGTTGGTTCTTCGAAAAGATCAATAAAACTGGAATGGGGACTCAAACACAAGTAGTCTATCCTCAGAATCCACACCCTGAGCCTCTGAACTCTAACCCCTCAGTTGACCCTGGACTGTATGTACTGCTGTTTCTTCTTATATCATGTTAATTCTGGCAAATAATGCTAAAAAAAACCCTTGGTAATTTCAAATAAAGAAAAATTAACCCTAAATATGGTTAAAGGATTAACATTGTGTGTTCAAGAGGTCAGGGGCTGTGTCTGACTTGTCACTTCTCTGGGACTAGGGCTTCGGTCAGTGTCTGTCATCATATACACATAAAATCCATGTTTGCTGGAAGGGAAGGTGAGAGACAGGAGGAAGAAAAAAGAAAGAAAAACAAAGGCTATTGAAAATGGGTTACTGGTATTAGAATGACTACTTCTCCAATAAAAATCAAATGAAGTTATAATAATTTACTTCACTGGGTCTTTAGTTATCTCTACGATGCAGTCAATTAACAGTCATTATCCCATAGTGGTGCTGTGTGAGAATTAAACATTTAACACATATTAAGTGCTTAGGAGAGTACCTGGTATATAATAAGCGCTTAATTAATGTGGCTATTATAATATTTTTAATTTTAATATGAGGGAGGTTGAGGAAAATTATGGTGTCAGATTCATGAGAATCTGACAGATTCTCATGAGAGAAAACTATGTTTTTGCTCTTAACATTTGTTGCTTTTTAAAGTTGGGCATAATTAAAAAAAATTTAATGTTTGTTTATTTTTGAGGGGCAGGGAGGGGCAGATGGAGAGGGAGACACAGAGTCCAAAGCAGGTTCCAGGCTCC